CGCTGCCCCGCACAAAGCGGATGAGCTGCGCACGTTCGCGCGCCGCCAACGCCGAGGCTTGCTTCTTGGCCGATCGAGACTATGTAGTGGATTAGCTATTTTCTAGTACTGCATATACTATTGTATTTCGTTTTTTCTATTACTCCAAATGAATATTGTCATTGTGATCGTTGGTTTTCTTATTGCTGTTCGTATTCCTATTATGTGGCTCCCGGAGACTCGAACGCCCGTTAATGAATGAACGTCCCTTAATTCCTTAAATCAGAGCGAGAACCCTCTTGGCAGTCTCTGGGATCAACGATGCCCTAAACCCTAAACCCTACAAGCCCTATAAACCCTATAAACCCTATAAGCCCTAACTAGTGAAGTAGGGTTTGGGGTGGAACAGTGTAGGTTGGGGGATCGAAGGTCTGGGGCTCCATGGGCTAAGAGCCTTACGGCTCTTGCGGGCTGTTGGCGGAATAGTGGGGCCTTAATAGCTTAGAGTAGGGTTTTGGAACATATTATACTGTATCTACAAGAAGGAGCCTTTTTAATTAGATTAGGCTTTCGGGGCTTTACTATACCATAAATATAATCAGGGGCCCCCAAAATAGTATTGGCAATAAAATTTTCGGCCCCTAGATTAAGCAATGCCGTTTCTTGCTCTCAGGGTTGGAGCTTGGAGGTGCTTGGATCTCAGAGGCTTTTGGGGAGTTGGCCGAGGTTTGTTTGAGGTTTGGCTTGGGACATACCAGCCGGGGTGTCAAACCCGAAACACGAAACCCTAATATGGGGGGGCCGTCGTAATCACACTAGGACTTTGGGGTATACAGTATTATGGTATAGATATCACAAGGCTTCCTAGGAATTAATATTTCACAAGACTAAGAAACTGCCAACGCCAGCTCTTCAACACCCTATGCACCACGCCCGTCCTAAGACCATCAAAAAACAGCAAGACGGGCTCCCTCTTTGGTGTCTTCCGTGTACCCAATGTTGCAAAGATTTGCTAAGTATGGCTAGGAATGATCATGGCAATAAGAGCGTAGGGGTAAACACCAGCAATGACCAGCAAAAAGGCACAGCCACGTATCATCCCAAGGACAAACACGGCTGATGATCCACTAAAAGCCCGACTAATCCCTTACACCCCAGGCCCTAAACCCTAAACCCGAACCCGCAACCTGAAATGTTAACGTAACAGCGACGCCCGACCCGAAGCCGGAGCCTAACTGAGAACCCGAGACCAGCTTGGACAAGAACAGAGGGATGCCATGCTACGAATGCTGCACCTGAAGGGCTCAATTTTAGGGTCTAGGGGTTAGGGTTTAGGGGTTCCTTGTGGGAAGTGTTACATCCTAATGCATGCCGAAACCCTGTTCCAACTGGCTTTGGAGCTTTGCACAGCCCTTCTGATTCGAAGCGCTGGAAGACATCTTTGTGTCCACAACGCCGAAACCGGCGCCAACAAGTCAATCCAGAATACTGCAGCGAGCTTAAAATTTCCGTCGGAAGGAACTTCGTTGACGACGCCGAAGCCTTGAACCTGCTCAGGGGCACCGAGAAATAATGCAGGGGCCGCAATACGTAGACTAGGGTTTTTAAGGGCATCTTCTGGTACACCACCAAAAAAGGACGCCCAAGGAATACTGTTGGCAATTATTGAGGCTTCTACATTAGGTCAGTATGTGAACTTGAAGTCCTGGCTTGGAGGGCAAATTGAAACAGCCTACATCCCACACAGACGTGAAACTGGAGCATGCGTTTGGGCAGACAGGCTGAACAAAACTTGGGACCCCACCAAAGTACTTGCCAAGCCCAGCCCTGCCCTCACCCCGGTCCGCCAATTCCCAAAAATCAGGTCTCAATCTGAGAACTTTCGGTCAACACGTTAGCCCTCCAGCCCCACCCAGCCAGCAGCCCACCCCCAGCCCACCCCCAGCCCAGCCAGACCCGCCCAGCCACCCACAGGTTTCAGTCAGAAAACCCGATAAAAAAAAACTTTCGGTCAAAACTTTATTGGCACCACCTAACAATTTCTATGAACCCTCGAAGCTTCCAACTCGTCTTGAAAACTTGAGCCATCGGCCAATGCGGAGGCACTTCCCTGTAATCTCATTGATCATGCAACTGCAAAGCGCCCCCAACAGCCCTTTGTAAACAGGCTTTGCTGGGCATTATCTCGCTTTGGAGGTTACCCTAAATGAAGTAGGGTAGGGTTTAGGGCCTAGCTTAGGCATTGTAAAGGTCAGGACCCTACATCCCAAATCGAGCCTCTGTAGAAGAGGCCGGCACCCTCTTTGAAATCCTCTTGGGTGATGTTGGCCGTCTGGTTCTGGCTGTCCTCCTCGCCGTCCTCCTCCTCTTCAGAAGACCTTTCCGGGCTGCCATAGAAAGGGATCCCCCTTCTAATCAGACTAGGCTTTTGGGTTCCTTTATACTGGGGCCGGAGACGCCGAGATACTGGGAATGTCGGCGGTGGCGACGCCGGCGTTACATGGTTTACCGTAGAAACCCCAAAGTTGGGAACCCAATAGGCTCAACCCTTAAGAGTCATCTATAGGGAATCCCAGCACCATTTGTCCTTAGTCCGGTTTCCAACCTTTTTGGGGTAAACTAGAAAAGAACCCTTATGCAGATCCCTTAAAAGAACCCTTAAAGGAACCCTTATAGATCCCTTAAAGGACCGATACTACAGAGGTTTTCGGTGGTTTAAGGCGTCTAGGGCTCAGGGTTTACTGTAGGATTTCGGGGTTTAGCAGTTTAGGGGTCCCATCCCACGAAAAGCTGCGGAGCTCTTATCTTGTCTTGGCCCTATCCTCAAACGTTGAAGAATCGGCTTCGGGGTTTAGGGTGTAGGGCTTAGGGCCAATGTAGGGTTGAGCTTGGGGTTTAGGGTTCAGGGTAGGCTTTAGGCTTTGCGGTTTAAACCCTAAACCCTAAGCCCTAAACCCTAAGCACTAAACCCTAAACGCTAGGTTTAGTAAGGCGAAGGCTCGGTCTTCGTGGCTACAGTTCTAGGGGACAGGGGGCTGGCGGGGGGTTTTCGGTGGCTCGGGGTCTAGGGTTTACGGTTTAAGGTTTAGGGTTTAGGGTAGACTACGAGAGAAAGAACAAGCAACGAGACGAGTTTAGAAAGCAAGGGACCCGGGTCGGGTAAGACTAAAACCGCCCTCAACCTCTCAACCCTGCAACCCTAAAGCCCAAACCCCGACAGAAATCTTTGAAGGAACCTTTATAATCCTAAGCCTGAAACCGTAAGCGAACAACCCTAAAATTTGGTCGTCCCTTAACCCCTCCCACCCTTATCTGGGTCCAGGCGTCGATCCAAAAAGAACGTCCATGCCTCGGTGGCAGGAAAGGATCCGAAACAACCTACAGAAAACTCAAAATCGAATCTTCGGGGTTCAAAGGAGACCTAAACCCTAAACCCAAAACCGTTCTACATGGGGATTGAGTTTAAGGGTTAGGTGTTTCGGGTTTGGGGTTTAGGGTCTCGGGATTGTCGCACCCCAAGTAAAGGGTTACGGTTACTATTCTACCACTAGGGAAAGGATCCCCAGAAATTTAGGAATGGAAGGGGCTCCCGTTTATGACTGTGTGTATTGGGGTACTGTCGTTACAAGGAACCTAACCCCTAAACCTTAAAGAACCATGATCAAGGCGCAACCAGGCTCCAACAATAGGGACCACTTTAATTAAAATAGGGTTTGGGGTATATTATACTATATAATTATACTATATAATTACAATAAGGAACCCCCAACACTCTAAGCCTAAACCCCCTGAACCCTAAACGCCTAAACCCTTAAACCCTAAACCCCTAAAGCCCCTACATTATTAAGGCCCCTACATCACATGAGTTTTACAAGAAACCTTCGACCAGAGAAGGGGGGAAAACATGGCCCACTGGCACGAGTAGACCTAGCTGGGATCCCAGTTCCTGTCAAGGGTTCCTTTCAGGGACCTTGTAGGGTTCAGGGTTTGAGGTTCAGGGTTTTGAGGATTTAGGGTGTTTTGGCTTGGAGGTGTTATTGGGGGTTCAGGACTTAAGGCTTGTACAGTTTAGGGTTTATTGGGGTTTAGAGTTCATGCTGAATGATTCCGGGACCCCTTGGGATGGCTACATGTTGAGCGATCGTCCTTTTAACGAACATCGTATATACACCCTAAACCTTCAAATCAGAGACGCGAAACCCTAGAATTTTTCAGGCAGGGTTGGGGAGGAAGATCATTGCTTCAGGTGCATGTGCCTTGGAGTTACGTGTAGTTCAGGGTCGAGGGCTCATGATAGAACCCTTCGGTGGTGTAAGCTTGCTGTATATCGCGCTTGGCTGAAAAAACTTACCAGTCTTGACGAGTGCCGGGTCGGCTCGCAATCTGAAGGGCTTGAAGCCCCAAAGGGCCTTCATGCATACCTACAAACGTGTCGCGAAGAACAGACATGGGTGTATGTTGAGATCTCTAGCCCCAGACACCAAAGCCCTAAACGAGTAAACCCGGAGCTTTTCTCTTGGCGGCTGAGGATCCACACCGACGTTTCAGAATTTCAAGTCACCCGAGGCCCTTCCAACATCCGAAAGCCTTCTCAACTCTTAACAAGAATTTGCAGGCTTTGGGGTTTGGACCTAAACCCGGCCGGAAACCCCTAAGCCCTAAACCCTACGCCCTACACCCTTAAACCGCTAAGCCCTAGACCCCTGAACACCTAAACCGCTAGACCCCTATACCCTTTATCGCCTCCCACAAGCCGAAGCCCTCTGGAACTCTCCCGCCGTCTGAGCTTAGGAGCCTTTTAGGGTTAGCCTGGACCCCAATGCACCTACCTCTTTTGAGTACTTAAATCAAAAGAAATCATAACAAGGAATCCTAAA